CAGAAATCTTTAATAAATAAATAATAATAATAAACAAAAAATAAAATATTATACAATATAAAAGGCCAGTGCTTCATTTAACATTAAAACATTTGAGATTGAGGTGGTAACAATTCTTAAAAACAATAAAACAAAGGACTGTCAATATGACCCAGGAATTAAACCTGATGACCTGAGTTTAATCTCCAGGAATTATATGATGGAAAGAGAAAACAGGCTCCCTAAATATGTCCTTTGCTCTCTACTTCATTGTCACATGAGTGTCTATACACTTACATATATAAAATGCAAATTTTAAATACCTAAATCCTGCAAAGATGGCTCAGTGGTTAAGAAAACTAACTGCTCTTCTGAAAGATTCAAGTTTATTCACTAGAGACAAGGCATTGAGCTCTCATCTCTGGAGTCTAGATAGCTCATTGGATGACTGAGACAGACCCTGAGGCTTCTGGTCCATAAACCACTGCTTGGAGGCAGAGATCTCACCTGATAACTGTGCATTAGAATCCCTCAGAATGTTTAAGCATCCAGTGCTTGGCTCCAGCCCAGGCTCAGTGAATTGAAATTCATGTTAACTGGATCCTAGATATGTGTTTTGTTTTTTCCCTCAGTGTTAAGGATCAAACCTAGGGGCCCTTTCATGTGAGGTTGAACATTTTCCCATTGGACTACACTCTCAAGCCTGGAAATTTTTTAATTCCATGAATGATTTTAGTCTATAACATGTTGATGATTACTGTTAAATAAAAGAAAAAATTCTTGTTTAAAAAAATGGAGGTTGAATGGTGTAGGAGGTCCTGTTTATGTATTGCTTTCATTGGTAACATGGAGTGGGGCCCTTAGTTCATCCTGGCCACCCAGCTAGCTTATACTCGAAATAACCACACAGAAATTGTATTAATTAAATCACTGCCTGGTCCATTATCTCTAGCCTCTTATTGGCTATCTCTCACATCTTGATTTAACCCATTTTTAATAATCTGTATATTACCACGAGCTCATGGCTTACCAGGAAAGATTTAGCACGTCTGACCTGGCGACTCCATGGCAGTTCTCTCACTCTGCTCTCTTTCTCCCAGAATTCAATTCTGTTTTCCCCACCTACATAAATTCTGCCCTATCAGGCCAAGCAGTTTCTTTATTGATTAACCAATGAAAGCAACACATAAACAGAAGGACCTCCTACAGTTGGAGAAAAGCTCAGTGGTTAAGAGCACTTGCTCTTTCCAAGGACCTGGGTTCAAAACCTAACGTCCACTTGGAGGTTGGAACCATCAGTAATTCTAATTCCAGTGAATCTGACGCCTTCAGTTCTTTGTGGTCCCCAAGCTCACAAGTAAGACATAGACATACATGAAAGCAAAACATCCATGCACGTAGAATTAAAGTAAAAACAAAAAAATCAAAGGGGCAAGGGCATGGCTAAGTGGTGAAGTGTTTACCTAGTGGTAGATGCTTGACTATCACGCTTCAGGTTCAATCTCCAGCACCATGGAGGGAGCACCACTTAAAGAGAGCTGGATGTGTATGGGGATGTACCTTAATAGTGCAGTGATTGTCTAGGTTTGTGTTCTATGCCCACATTAAAAATGATAAACCTCAGGGCCCATCCAAGCTTCTAGACAATGGACCACTATGTAGATTTGCCTGTGTCCTGCTCTTTCTCAGGACTCACTTTGCAGTGTTTTTAATAAATGACCCAGAAATCTTGACCCAGCAACCTGAAAACAGTCTTCAGCAAACACAGCCTCACCTGCTATTACAAAAAGCAGAGACTAATGCAAGATTCCCTGCCGCAGGTTCCTGATGGAGATTGATGCCTCCAAACATGTCCCTCAGGGGCCACTCAAGGTACCTATAAAAGAGATCCTATGACCAGATTTATGTTTGCAGCCTAGAATATAAACATTGTGTGTTCTTATGTCATAGTAAATGTCTGGGTGAAGAGAGAAATCAAAAATTACAATTTTAAATAAATAATAATAAAATAAAATAATTTTAAAAAAGAGTTAATATAAATAAATAAATAAATAAATGAATAAATAAATAGTAAAAAAAGAAAAAAATTACAATTTTATCCACTTAGATATTTTTCTTTATTGGTGATGTCACGGGTAAGGAATTCTGCACCCCAATAACATCAGGCCCTACATAAGCATGAGGCGAGATTTAAAATGAACATGATTGGTGTATAGCTGGGTGTCTGAGACAGGGAGGGGCAGGGATGAGTCAGGATTCACATGATGGGAGGTTAGAGGGTCACTGTGAAATAGAAACAGGGACAGTGTTACAGACAATAAAGACCTCCCTAGCGAAGCACAGAGTGAGTGCTGGAGGCTCAAAACAAGACCAGAATGCAGATCTGAAAGACAAGAGAAAGAGTGGTCATGGGAGGAACTGTGAATATTGAGGCAAATGAAATGAGTTGAGGGTAAAAGACAGAGCCCAAGGAGCCCCACGTTCCGATAGTAGAACCAGCTCTACAACCCTAGGTGGTTCTCCTGAATACATTCATTTAATGTTAGAAATGTCACCTTGGAAACTGATTCAATAGAATCAGAACCCAAGATAGTCTTGACTACATGAGCCCCCTCTCAAAAAAATGAAAATGAAATTAATTGATTAATTAAGCCACATTAAGATATTATATTTTGGAGTTAGGCTGTCCTAAATAGTAAATATGTTAGGTTATCTTTAATTCAACTTCTTTATTACTATTGTTTTTTCTTTCCTTTTTTAATTATTTTTATTGAGCTCTACATTTTTCTCTACTCCCCTCTCTACCTCTCCCCCTCCCCTTCAATCCTCTCCCAAGGTCCCCATGCTCACAATTTACTCAGGAGATCTTGTCTATTTTTACTTCCCATGTAGATTAGATCTATGTATGTCTCTCTTAAGGTCCTCATTGTTGTCTTGGTTCTCTGGGATTGTGATTTGTGAGCTGGCTTTCTTCGCTTTATGTTTAAAAACCACCTATGAGTGAGTATGTGTGATAATTGTCTTTCTGTGTCTGGGTTACCTCACTCAAAATGATGTTTTCTAGCTCCACCCATTTGCCTGCAAAATTAAAGATGTCATTATTTTTTTCTGCTGTGTAGTACTCCATTGTATAAATGTACCACATTTTCCTTATCCATTCTTTGGCTGAAGGACATTTAGGTTGTTGTTGCAAAAGTGTTTCTATTATTTTCATGTCAGAATTGTTGTTTTCAAAATGTAAATTTTTCTAGTCTGATAAATCCCAGCAATTCTCTGAACTTCATTTCAGATCAGAATGCCATTTTCTTTTTTTTTAATTAAATATTTCTGTCTCTTCCCCACCTCCGCCTCCCCTTTCCCTCCCCCTCCCCCAATCAAGTCCCCCTCCCTCGTCAGCCCAAAGAGCAATCAGGGCTCTCCGTCCCGTGGGAAGTCCAAGGAAAAACCTCCTCCGTCCAGGTCTCGTAAGGTGAGTATCCAAACAGCCTAGGCTCCCACAAAGCCAATACATGCAATAGGATCAAAAACCCATTGCCATTGTTCTTGATGTCTCAGTAGTCCTCATTGTCCGCTATGTTCAGTGAGACCTGTTTTAACCCAGGCTTTTTCAGACCCAGGTCAGCTGGCCTTGGTGAGTTCCCGATAGATCATCTCCATTGTCTCAGTGTGTGGGTGCACCCCTCGCGGTCCTGAGTTCCTTGCTCATGTTCGCTCTCCTTCTGCTCCTGTTTTCGACCTTGAGATTTCAGTCCGGTGCTCCAATGTGGGTCTCTGTCTCTGTCTTCTTTCATCGCCTGATGAAGGTTAATATTCAGGAGGATGCCTATGTTTTTCTTTGGGTTCTCCTTCTTATTTAGTAGAATGCCATTTTCTAACAACTCTGTTCAATACTAGTCCTTAATATTTTGAGGAGAGGGCCTGGTGAGATACAGAGAGAGTTAAGAGCACTGATTGTTCTCCCAGAGGACCCTGGTTTGGTTCCCAGCACCCAATGGCAGCTGACAACTACCTGCAAATCCAAGGCCAGGGGATAAGATTCCAACTTCTGGCCTCTGCAGTCAACTGCGCATATGTGGTGCATGTATATACACTCAGGAACACACACTTAAAGCAAATATTTGAAGTCTCCTTTAGAGTAAAGAAATTTCTGGGCCACCTTGGTTTAGGAAAAGGCCACATGCTCTAATATTCTGGTGTCACACTGTTCTTGATGATTTCTGCAATATTTCTTCTTGTAGCTGGAAAATTCAAGACATTGTATGGTGTGCGGCGGGCGACGGAGATTGCGCCCTTGTGTTAGTTGTAGAAAATTCTATCATAAGAATTGCCACATCCCACCTGTGGAAGACAAGAGGTTAGTAAGACAGCCCTGCCTCTACCAACCTTCCTCCTCAGGACACACTTCCTCCCTACACACACACACACACACACACACACACACACACACTGCTGGTTTGCTGTCTCCAGTTGGAGATGTCTTGATACAGTGAGAACAAGACTCTTAGTCTCAAGATCCAAATGTATCCAGAGCTGTTTCTCAGCACTCATAGGAGAAGATTAAAAGAAATAATTAATAAAAAGTGATTACCTGGAAGAAGTGCCCCTCCCTGTCACCTATGTGCTCCACTGGGGTGATAGCACTGTAGAGCGGTTGTTGGCTTTGACCACGCATTCATCTCCCCCACTACAGAATTACAAAGTTGATAAAGCTGGACTTTCAAGCCTTCAGAAATCCACCCCAGCATTCTGTCAGATCCTGGGTTGCAGAGCACTGCATGAGAACTGGAAATTCTGTGTGTCAGCATCCCACTCCCACCCCTTTGCTTTAGCTATATCTCTGGGCAGAGATAGAATGTGAGATTCCGAGAGGTTGAAAGGGGATTGGATGGGCTCTGTGAATGGTGTGGATGAAACTACTGTGACTCAGGGACTGATGTCTCCTGGAAAGCCTCTAAGAGAACATTGCCCTCTGGTGACAGGAGGAGTCATAGCACCACCCACTGCACCCAGGGCACCATGTCAGAGGATTATTGGAAACCACTTCTTCTAGCTAGTTAGACATGATATCAAGGCACAGAAGGAATCAGTTCTTTCATTCTGCCCACATGCAGCTCCCCACCGGGCAATGACAGAAGAAAGGACACCTGTAGCTTTTGCTGTGCTTACTCAGCAAGGCTGAGAAGCAAAGGTTGTTTTCTGGTTTTCTGACTATAACTGTCATCTATTTGGCTCATCAAGGTTCAAGACTCCTGTGCTTAAGGCACTAACTTCACTGCGATGACCAAACATGGCTTGTTGTCAAGCTTTCAAAACTTAGAAGGAAACTCCAAGTCTTGAGGTCAATAGGAATCCATTACTTCCTTGGGTACCACCTCATTCACAACAGTCACTATTGATAGTAGGTATTATATTTGCCTATAGAACCCACATGGAGAGCCAGTCCAAGAGTGAAGTTGAATGCTAGGTGGAAACCACTGACCCTCTTGAACAGAGTCTTTGTCAGCCACAGGAATGCGGGCTGGTCCACACCTGCCCTCACTCACTTTATCTCTGATCTCTCAGTGACCCTTGGAGTTGTGTCATCTGCAAGATAAAGGATCAGGCAAAGTGCCAAGAAAATCAAGCATGCCATAGGGAATCTGAGGTCCTGAAGAGGAAGATGTTGCCTGAGGAGCAGCTGGTGAGTCAGTGTGAAGTTGAAGGTCTCTCTTTTTGGTTGGTAGAGGAACACAGTCGCACAGAGAGTAAGGAACAGAACCCCAAGGAAAATTGTGTTGTGCTTTAATCACGTGACCCAGTGTGAAATTCATACTCCAGGGAGTATTTGTATTTGTAAATACCGTTCCTATTTGTCTCAAAGAGGTCAAAGGTCTGAGAGTCATTTGTTGAATCTTGGAATTTAAGCAGGCCTTTTCTCCCTAAGTTGCCTTCCACTTAGATTGCCTTTCATCTTTTGCAGAAATGTGAGCTGCTGCTCTTGACTGTCTATTGCCATTCAAAAAGTGTCTTTTTTAAACTCAAACCAAAGCAAGTAAGTAAGAACAGCAAAACTGAAATCTTGTGAATGATTTTATTCCAATACAAGTTGGCTTTCTCTTGCCTTCTTGTTGAGTGTCTTTGTGCAGGAAGCCATGCATAGCAAACTACCATAGACTGGGGCAGTATACACAATATAAATTTGTTTCTTATGGTTCTGGACACTGAAGGTCTGAGGCCAAGGTGTAAATAAAGTCTGGCTTCTGGTGAGGGTCTTCTACTTCTTTGTTTGAGACAAGGTCTCACTGCATCCCTGTCTGACCCGGAATTCACTCTGTAGACCAAGCAGGCCTTGAACTCATAAAGATTTCATTTGCCTCTGCCTCCTAAAAGCTGGGGTTAAATGTGTGTGCCATCACAAGTGGCTAAAAGTCTTCTAGGAAGCAGGCAACTCACTTCTGACTGTTCCTTCAAATGGTGAAAAGAGACTGAGAGAGTTTCCCAAAGTCTTAACAAGGGCACTAACCCAACTCCCAGAGGCTGTTCCTTCATAACCTAATTTCAAAGCCTTTACTTCTTACTCCCAGTGTGCCAGGGATTAGGATTTCCCCCTATGAGTTAGAGGGATGGAGATGCAAGCATTCAGAATCCACAACCATGGGAATGTGTGGTAGACTGACTAAGGACTATGCTGACAGCAACCCCTCCCCATCCCCTTCTGCGCTTTCCGCAACAGAGGAAAGAAGACTTTCCAGCCCTCCAGAAACATATGTGGTTAGAAAAAATCAAGAACAAGCTGAACAAGAAGGCATACCACTCGGTACAACATTTTGTTGCAGACATGCGCCTCATCTTTCAGAACCACAGCATATTTTACAAAGTAAGAGCCTCTGTTTTGCTTTCCTTTTTCTCTGAGTTGAGTCATTTTTCATCATGTCAGGTAAATGCTATAATCCCCCTCATCATGGGGCAAGCCCATACAAGTCAAAGTTGAGGGAGGATTCAAAAAGTCCCATGATGCCGGTGGGGAAAGCAGCAGTGACTCACATTGGATCTCTGGAAGTTCACTTTGGGACAGTCAGTTTTCACCCATGGAGAGCAACAGGTTACAGATTTGCTCACGGTTGCCTGGGACAGAAGTGTATGTTAAAGACAGCCAGCATTTGTTATCTATAAAGAGAGAAAAGTCAGAGTTTTCATGCTGCAAAACCCCAAATTTCTTAGTATCTAAAAGTCCTAGAGCTGTAGCAAAACATTCTTGTCACAGCACTGGAAAGATGGCTCAGGGGTTAAGAGCCCTTGCTGCTCTGGGAAGGAGAGGAGTATGGCTCCCAGCACTCACATCAGGAGCTCATGTGCACTCCAACTCCAGGGAAAGCAACACCCTCTTCTTAGCTCCTCAGGTGCCTGCAGGCACATGCACACAACACACATAAGCACACATGCTTAAAAGTAATAAAAATGACAAAGGTAGAGACAGGCAAATCTCTGTGAACTCAAGGCCAGCCTGGCCTATGAAGCAAGTTCTAGAACAGTCAGGGTTACACAAGGAGACTATCTTAAATAAACAAACATTAATAACAACAATAATAGTAAATATGTTTTAATTAGTTTTCTATTTTCAAATTTTGTTTTTCTTACATTTTCATCATAATCTTCTCCTTCCCCCAGTTCCTCCCAGGTCCTCCTCACCTCTCTATCCACTCAACGGCAGATTCTTTCCCTTTCAGAAAAATAAAAGAAAATAAAAAACCCAAAAAATGAAAATCAAAAGAAACTAAAAACTAGACAAACAAACCAAGACAAAAGAGAGGAAAACAACACAAAAAGTACACACACACACACACACACACACACACATGCATAACAAACAAAGAACAAAAACCCACCGAGTCTGTTGATCAGCTACTCCTGGGCATGGCGCCTGTCCTGAAAGGCTGATATACCCAGTGACACTCTGTTGGAGAAAACTGACTTTCACGGTCCCAGCAGGTACTAACTAAATAGCTTTTTGATTAGGGGTGCGACCTGATGTTTACTTCTTCTCAGGGCTGGGATTTTGTCTGGTTTGAACCACTCCAGGTCTTAAGCATCCCATCACAGTCTCTGTGAGTTCATGTGAGTAAGAGCTCTCCAGTGTCTGGAAGGTGCCGTTTCCTGGACTCATCCACCATCTCAGGGTCTTACAGGCTTTGTGCCATCTCTTCCACGTAGATCCCTGAGCCTTGAAGAGAGGGGTTTGGTAACAACAGCTGAGTGCTACAGAGTCAGACTCTGGACATTAATTCTGTATTAATTCCCATCTACCGCAAGAAGCTTCTCTGGGGAGTGCTGAGTGAAGCTCTGACCTTCTCTCTGATGAATACCAATACTAATAACACTCTAACAAGTATTATTATAATAAATAACAATAAATCTTTAAAAAAATGGCCACAGAATTAGAAAATCCCCCGAGTCATTGGATGAGGAGAACTAAGGTTGGGGGCATGTCTTTAAAACACTTTCTCAAAGATCTGACAGGAGACCAGAAGGAAATCTGAGCCAGCTTTAGTGAAAAGAAAGTACAGCCAGAGTCTAGAACACCAGACAGAGGTCAAGGTAGACAACTGAGAGGTGGGGAAGGAGATACAACGACATTGTCACATTGAGCTTTTGTCCACTGAGGCATGAAGTGGGCGTGAAAAATTCATCTTGTCCAGAGTGACATGAGTTTGGGGTGTAGGAACTATATTCCACTGTCCCTCATCAACCTAGAAAGAGCAATTAATGTCACTCCATTACTTTTTAACTCTATTGTCAGTCAAAGACGGCTCTTTGTGCCCCAAATTTAGGATGAGTGTATGAGAAAAGATACAGGTAACTGAATTCATTGTCATTGACTTTACCTCCTACCGTTTGTTAGCGCTGGGCCCAAAATGAATAAGTAACATTATATCAGTTTAATTTTTGTGGCTACTTTGAGACCCTAATGTCATCTTTTAGTTTATTTTTAACTAAGCGTGACAAGTGGCTTGCTGAAAGGATACGTTAAGAAGGGTCTTGCTACGTAGACCTCAACAGTCTTGCACTCACAGAGCTCCACCCGCCTCCACTTCTCTAGGATGAGACAGAAGGGTGTGCCACCACCACCCTGGTAGCATTTCAGTTTTAAGTTATTGCACTAAGATTCTGCCTCTTATTCAAATTTCATAACTCATTATCTAGCCTAATAAATTCCCAGGAAATTAAAAGTTCAGGGAAAGGAAGACTCTGCTCATTTCTACTGTCATATCTCACCTAGACCAACATGATAGAGTGGAAAATCTCATACCATGAAAACTTTGTTTATTGCAACATATTTGAAATATATTGCATAAAACTGCTTCAGGTTATCTGTGAAATATTTATATAAACAGGATGATTTTTTAAATTTTTGACTTCAATCCTATTTCTGTGGTGTCTCATCATGTATAGACAAATATCCCAGCATCTGAAACCCAAACCACTGCTGATCTCAGGCATCTGGAGCAAGGGATATTCAGCCTGCAATACTAATTTTACTTCTGTCTTCCCAAGAAAAGACATAACCAAACTCTCAGGGAAATAACCTCTTTCTTTAAAAAAAATGGTTACACTTCTATTTATTTTACTTTGGGGGGAGACAGTGCCTCAGTGCAAGCCATGGAGCGGTGCCTGTGGAAGTCTGGGAACAACTTGCTAGAGTCGGTTCCCTTTCTACCACATGGATCCCAGGATTGAACTCAGGCTGCTTAGCAAAAGGTGCCTTTACCCACTGAGCCATCTTACAGGCCCCATAACCTCCTCTTAGCTGGGTTAGACCTCCCCACTTGGAATGGTCTGAGCAAGGTTCTGGGCTATCCAGAGGATTGGTTGGCCCAGCTTAGCAAGCTATGGCGAGCACTGATTTCCTGATTCCTTTTCAGAGTCACAGGATCAGCAACCTTGGAGTCAAAGTAGGAAGTCTATTTGAGGAGACTTTCAAAAGAATTTTTTCAATCCAAGGTACAAGCAAATAACATCAAACGTGTAAGCACACCGGTGGTTTTGTTCTCATAGTCCTTTGTATTCCGTCCATCACCCATCCCTCCAGCCGTCAACTGCACAGTGCTCAGAGAGCTCACCCTCCCTTCTGCCCTTCTGTGTATACGCCCTGCCAACCTTCTACTTCCGACTTTCTGTATTGTCCTTCCTGTTCCTGTTTATTTACCTTCCTAAATAAAACTTAACGTTTGCAGTGTACATCACAATGTTGAGCTGTCAGGTGCTGAGGGAGCCCACTGAGAAGGTGACTCTGGAAGCAGGAATGTACCCCTCCCCAATTTTAAACCCAAGTATGCTGCCCCAAATGTCTCCAAAGCAGCTTTTCTAAGGATGACCTGGCCCTTTGAACCAGTGACTGAGTGGAGATACCAACAAAATAGACCAAATGTGAAAACAGTGTCCTTGAGAAGAACTAGAAGGGGAACCATGGCAAACAGATATTACAGTTGTTTATCCTATGTAAAATGGAAAGGAGAAGCCAGAGAGAAAACTCAGCTGGGAACTGTGGCTGACTGCTCAGCTTCCACAGACAGTTTCTGCTGACTGCCATGCGCATCCAATTTGATGATGTTGTCTCTCTGTTGCTGTTTATTCTTCAACCTGGAAGCCTCACCAAATGCTAACTCTGGTCTGCCCTGGACTCCACTGGAAACTCCAGACCCCACCCTCACCAATTCTACAGACATCCCCAGTCAGTTCCCCCTGGATATTCCAAGTACATGATGAGCAATGATTTGTTGTTTTTCTCTTTGGCTTGTTACATACTTAATAAACTCATTCAAAACTCAAAGTATGGAGATCATTGTTGTTTCTCAGGACTGAGCAGAACATGACGGGGTGGGTCAACAGTCTCCACAAGATGTTATTTCTATTTGAAAGTCATGACTCCCATAAAAAGTGAAAGAGAAAAGGAGCAGACAATGGATGGGCTGACGATTCCTCCCACAGGCAGCTGGCCTCTGGTCAGGATGGTAGAATAAAGGATCAAATGTCATCTATGTCTAAAACTGCGGTTCACAGGGGAAGCATGTCAGGAATGGAGCACTCCAGGTACTTTCTACTTTCTCCTCTGCTTTTTCTTTACAAAGAGTGCTCACTGCTAAAAGTCATTCATAGCTGGGCAGACTCATGATGATGAATGTAAAACTTTCTCAAACTCCCAGATTCTGTGAGATCACAGGGAAAAGAAGATAAAAATCCAAGTTGTGTGGAGCTTTGTCTGAGATTTGTAACAACAGCAAAAGGCTTGGTAGTTGAACAGTATGTACAAACAGGAGACCTCAGTTTGGTACATTGTACATTGAATTAGATTCAATTCCTGTGTTGAAGGTTATTAAAAATCCTTGAAGAAATTGATTTGCTTATAGAAACATTCATAATAACTAGCTTAAAAACAAAATTGTGTGTCTAATCAAGATGGTTGCTTGTGTTTTTTCCAACTTTGTTAGGCTTTTAATCACTTCCAAAAGTAAGTCTCTTAGCAAAATTAGGACTTAGTTAAAAACTGCTTCATGGTGACTAGGGCTAATTTTATGTGAACTTGGCACGAACCAGAGCTATTTGGAAAGAGAAAACAGCAGCAGAGAAAGTGCCAGTACGAGAATGGCCCACAGGGCATATTTTTGACTGATGAGCAGTGTGGGAATCCTAACATCATGGGCGCTGTCCCTGGGTGCTATAAGAAAGCAGACTGAGCAAGTCATGGAAGCAAACCAGTAAGCAGCCCTCCTCCATGTGTCTCTTCCACACACTACCTATAAAGTTCCCGCTTACAGGTTCCCGCCTTGAGTTCCTGCCCTGGTTTCCTTGAATGGTAGACTCTAAGCTATAACCTAAAATAAACCTTTTCCTCTCCAAGTCGATTTTGCTCATGGTGTTTATCACAGCAATAGAAACCCTAACCAAGACATGTTTTCTTTTTGTGAGTTTTTGTTTGCTTGTTTGTCTAAACTTTCTCTAAATGTTATACACGATTTAGCATCATGAAACTAGTAAGGCTGTCCCTCTGTGAAGATAAAGGGCTCAGAAAGAAACTCATTTTTAACCCTTCCACTCCAAAGCCAGCCAGTACCTCCTAGACAAGGAATCCTGCTAAGTTACCTGGCCTCTTGATCAGACAGGCCCTGGAGTCTCTAGCAATTGGATTCTGATCCATGGACATTCCACAGGGAGGAGAACCAATGGAGACAGACATGTTCCCTATGCTTCCAAAGGAAGACAAATGGTCAGCAGGGCCCTGACACTTCACTGCAGACCACACAGCTGATAGAGGAAAGCTATGGTAGCCAATGGGTCACTCCTAAACCCCTAAGTGAAACACAAACAGAGTCTCAACAGACTTTACAAACAGAAATGTTTATCTTTGGCCACCTACATGGTCTTAGATACCCAAAAGGAAAGTATAATCAAAACAACTGCCAATCAGATAGTCAGACTTTAGCCAGTTTTAAAAGGAACTCTGCTAAATGTCATAAAGTTGCTAACTGGATTCACCTGTTCAAGATTAAACCTTATTTTCCAGGAAGCATCTAAAATAAAAGACAAGGGAGACTAGAACAATAAACAAACTGGGGACATATACTTTGTCTTCAAAAGGGACCCCGAACCTCAGGTAAACAAACTGGGGACATACACTTTGTCTTCAAAAGGGACCCCGAACCTCAGGTAAAAGCTGGATGTGGTGGTGGCACACGTCTTTAATCCAAACGACTTTCTCAATGGGGCTTCTGTGGTCTATGTCTGGGGGCTATTTGAGCATTCAATTAGATATTGTTTTACTATCTATAATTTTACTTTGATTTGCTATATAATTAATAAATTCACTCATTCCAAACCATTTTATTAAGTTCTCTTATTCAGTGTATTAATATTAGTCAAGGTTCTCTAGAGGAACAGAACTTACAGAATGGATATTTATAGTTGTAGATAAATACATATGTGCATATATGTATATATGCATTATACATATACATATATATATACACACACACACACATAAATATAGTTGTGGATCTGAGGCTTGAAACAACCTAAGCAGACACAAGAAGTCACACAAAGCAAGGTTTTGTTACTGAGGAGCATGGCAGAAGTCCAATCAGTACAGACTTGGGAGCTGACTGCATCCCCAAACGTTCATGTCAGCAAGTGTTTAAGCACAAAAACCACAATCATCTCTGCCAGGTTGCAGTTATATCTTCCCACCAATCAGGCTTCAGAGGTTAGGGACTTTCCTAGGAGCCTTGTTCTTTGGTGCACTTACCTTGTTCCCATTGGTTGGTTCACTCAAGTGTGGCAGGGCAGCTTGCCCGCCATTCATGCCTCAGCTTGTCAACCAGGGTGTCAGTGACCCAGGGAGGTCTTGGGAACCTAAACTTTATTTTTTTCTGAATAAAATCCCTTTATTCTTTACTATTTGTTTATGCTTTTTCAATTCTTTGAACAACATGCCTGGAAACACCTGATCCAGACAGAAACTCCCAGCAACATCACTTTGAGGCCCAGGCTAGCCTTCTGCCTCATCCTCATAGGTATTCACAAATACAGTCCACTAATGAACACTCAGGACGTTCAAGAACTCTATGCAAGGAAATGGGGATAAAGGCTATTATGCTTCGGATAGTTATGGTTATATGAAAGGGAAGAATCAAAATAAAACTTGTAAGTGCCCCATTTTCTTTTGACTCTATCAATAAAGCCAGAGACTATTGTCTAACCTCTCTGCTGTGGGGTACCCACAAGAGAAGACTGCTTGGACACGTATTTAATCCAGTGAAAATCTTTATTAGCCAACCAGTGACTACACTAGGTGTTTCAGATCTCAGTGTGGCCCTAAAGTTTGTAAGTACAAAATTAATGTTCTGGGTTGAGTGTTTCCGTTAACAAAAACCATTAGCCAGAAACAGAGCTACAGAAGCCAAAAAGCAAGGTTGAACATTTAGAGACTTTCCCAGAACTATGGACTTTGAGGGATTCATTCTTTGTTTTCATTTTGGCAGGTGGTACTGTCCATATGCTGAGTTTTACAGCTTGAGTGGTACTTCCATCACGGAGTCAGTTGTGCTAAGGTCTGGGGGGCTTACTAAGGTCTGGAACCACATCTTTACAAAGGTCATAAAAAGTAAGGTGTAGAGAATGGGCGGCTGGGCTCTTCGATGTCCCCCAAGAATGGAGAGTCAGGAAACAGGAGACCTGATCTCCTAAGGGAACCTCTGCATTCTGGAGCCCAGGGTACATGATCCTCACCCTCCTCATCCACCTGCTGCCTGCATCTCGGTGTCAAGGTGAAGAGTTCCAGGAGTTCGCTCTCATCTTCCTCATCACTGCTGATCACTGCACAGCAATACAAAACCCCTTAGGGCTCTCAGTGAATGACTTCAAAGCTGATTCTACTGGAACCCCAGAATGCAGACACAGGAATGACCCAGAAGCGTGGGCAATGTTTAGGTAGCAATGCCCCTGCCATAGTTGGTCCCTCCACTGTGTTCTACTCAATGCTGACTTTGAGGTGGCTTTGGTTATCCCAAAGCCTTACTGTCACATCTCCATCTGCTTAGGCTCTTTTCCCCCTTCCTGCTGTCTCTACCCCTTTCTCTGTCCCTACTGGTCCCTCCCTCTGCCTTCTCTCACTCTGTGGATCCCCAGTGCTTTCTGCCTCTACCCCATCCCCCACTACCCACACACCCTTGGCTTCCTTGTCTAAAATTTCCTTGTAACTCTTTCCTCCCAGATCTCTTAAAACCATCCCATTGCCTACCTGCTTTCCTAATTAATGGAGTACCAGAGCCCATGGCTCCCTACATCTATCTGGGGCTCCCAGGGCCACCGAGCTGGACTCTGATCACATGCTCAGCCAGTCACCTCCACTGTGACTTAGAAGGGTCACCCATCAGCACAGGCATCTTAAGTTATCCTTACCAATGATGTCATCCTCTTGGTTCTGCATTGTCCCTAGCTTCTGTAAGCTTTCTTGTTTCACAAAACAAGGTTGCATCCAATTTTCACGTGTACGTAGGTTTGTCCCTGAAAAAGAAGAGAATGTTACTTGAAGAATTCTCATCTGCTCCCTTGGAAAGGCTTCACAAAATCCTGTTCTCTCTCCCCTGACACTTGACTGAAGAGCACAAGGATAGTGCTAAACTTTTGTGACCTTAGCCAAGAGTTGTTGACTCTCCTATTAACACTGGGTCAATCATGAGTTCAAGATCAACATGGCTATGTAAAATAAGAACTGGTCTCAAAAAGAAAGGGAAGGAGGGAGGGAGAGAAGAAGAAAGAAAGGAAGGAAGGAAGGAAGGAGCCTTCACACTTATTTTTTCTACCTCACCCAGCACACCTTCTTTTCTTCAGACCTCAAGTTTTTTCTCGCCGCCCTGACACAATCTTTTTGTTTTCTCTTTTCCCTCTCCCTGTTACTATCATTTACCAACTAATAACTATGTCAGCTAAAGTTTGTATTCCTGACATAATCAAGTCATTTTAACTCTATTAAGACCTGAAGTTCTCCTGCCTGCTATGGTGATACACGCCTTTAATCCCAGCACTCATAAGGCAGAAGCAGGTAGCTCTCTGAGTTCAAAGCCAGCCTGGTCTACAGAGTGAGTTCCAGGACAGCCAACACTACACAGAGAAACCCTGTCTTGAAAAAACAAAAACAAAAGAAAGACCTGAAATTCTCAACTTAATTACTTAATTCTTGTGACTGTCCCATCCTCAGACTCTGTATCCAAAGATTCAAGCAGCCACGTATCAGAGACACTTAGAAAAACATATTATATCTGTACTGAGCAGGAA